GTTCTGTTGGTATAATCCATGTAAAATCATAGAGTTATAGCAAGATGATCAGTACACTGAGCATCATTATACTTTGACTGGGCTTTCTTTGTATGCCACACCATAAGATTCATACATTACATACATTAGTGCTGCTGCCACTTTGCTTTGAGTTGGGCCTAGGCTTTAGTAAACAGACAAGCATCAAAATGATGACAATTATGAAATAGCAATGAAACCTTAATCTAGAAATGGAAGGAAAAGAGAGTGGACAGTTAACAGACAACAAAGCAAAAAATAATAGCATTCAAAACAAGGATAGCAAAAGAATAAAGAATGAAATGGTAGTTTGAAAAAATAGAATCATAGAATCATTTGAGGTGGAAAAGACCTTAAACGGTCATCTGGTCTAAGTAGTCCAACTTCTCTGCAATGAACAGGAACACCTACAGCTGGACCAGGTCGCTCGGAGTGCTGTCCAGCCTGACTTGTGTAGCGGGCCATTCTGTATATAGTATATAGTATATGTATATACTGTATATAGTATAGCATATATATATATAGTGTGTCTTTTTTTCTTTTTTTGCTCTATGTTGCTTGGTTATAGAGTTTTAAGCCTGGCACACCCTCTTTTACTTTCTGCAGTTTTTGTCTTGGAAAAATAAGCAGTCTGGCTATTTTTCTGGGATTTCTAGAAACGAGACAGACCTTGGCAGATCGCTGGTGGTGCACAAGCAGATTGCCTGGGTGCGTCAGGGAATTCATGGCATTCTCTGCAAGGGGATGGCAACTGAGGCTGCTGAATCTGACCAAAGCAGCTGCCTGGATGGCAGTAGGCAGCCATCTCTTGCACAGTGGCTGCACAGTTGATCTCTTAAATTCACAGCAAATCTGAAGCAGCTGGGGTATGTCTGATATCTGGCATATGTGCTGCATAAATAGAAATATCTCTCTGAGATTTCTTGAACACAAGTCTGGAAATCCTACATACATCTGCAGCAGGTATCCTAGTGGTTGATAATTTAATGCAATAGTCATGACAGCATAAGTCACTGAGTAAGTTGTCTTTTTGAGAATTGCAGTGCAAGCCATTCAGAAAGGCACAACAGTAGAGGAACCTATGTGGTGATGCCGGCAGAAGATGCTTTGCCATTTTAAATTGCAGTTATTAAAATCCTCAGACATATTCTTCCTCTTAACTGGTTTATACAGTAGTGGCATATCTTAGCCTTTTTCATTATTTCCTCTCCTTTGCTGATAATAGGTGAAGTCTGTGTGTGCATGTGCGTATACTTACATGCAGTGTAAAATATACATGCATCCCAACTCATATCAATGCCTTCCCATTCGTAGTTTCTCTAGCAGCTTGGTTGTGCTCATGTTTCTTAACTGATATGTGCAAAAAACCTTTGCAGGCTTTGTTTCTCAAAGTCTTACAATAGAAGATCTGTTTACCACCTATAAAGTCATCCAGTTCAATACAATTTGGTGATCCCAACCAGCTCTATGTTTGTTGTACACTGATAAAATCTGCTCCCACTCTAAACAGAAATACTTCTTCAGACCAGCTCCTTAAGTCTTTTTTTTTTTTTTACAGCCTGGAAAATGTACATGGATTTCTATGTTTGTGTGAAGCATTAGTGACATCCAGTGGTTACCAGTGTAAATGGTAAGAATGCTTAACCCTGTTCCCAAGGGACACCTAATATTCCTCTTTCTCCTTCTGTAACAGACAGCTATTTGAAAAAGGAGAAAGGCAGAGAATATGTGTTTCCTGGATCTTTCATAATACATCCTTATCTGGGTTTGATTAAACCTCACTGATCATGCACTATATAATTGTTATTTTTCATCTGTATTATGTGTAAGAACCCACAGAGTCCCTTTGAGAAACTGGGTGGCTGAAATCATGCCACCAAAGGCATCTCCCATCAAAACAGATATAGATTACAATGAAAACCAACTAAACAATCAGATATGAGACTACTGAGAAGTATTAGCTGTATACATACAAGGGTTTCAATAGGTAGTCTTCCATGGAGGTGTGTGAATGACAGCATGAGAAGATGAAGAAAGAATACAGAAAGAAACAAAAGCAACAGCCATAACATACTCCTGATGAAAAGCATCACAGGCACTTTTGGGCAGAGTGTTGGCTAAGAGAGGCTTGGGACTACAAAAGAAAAAAAAAAAAGCTGTTGTTTGAATTCTTTTCTCTTAAAGAAAATGCACTTTGTTATAAATAATCAGGTTCTCAAAGAAATAAGCAACTCTATCATCTGTTTCCTTTCCCAATGGAAATAAGTTGATAGTCTCTGAATTTTGGGCAAGAATCTGTTGAATCAGTCACAGGCAGTTATCTCAGCTCCAATGCCGCCAATTCTGCGCTGTCTGGGATACTGTTCAGTTTCAAGGAGGCAGTTGAGACACCAACAGCCCAGAAGAAATTTTCAGATTAACTCAAAATAATTAAGTTGAATTATGAGAGCTCCCATCCCAATCATGGTGAGCATCTCAGAAGGAGTTTTTTACATAAAATACTAGCTCATACAGAACATATCAGGAAACAGAGGCTGTTCTGCAACATTTCAACATGAAATATGTTCAAAACATGTTTTCGGCCAGTTCATTTTCAAACTCCAGTTCTATATTCTACATATGTTCACTATAAATCTTACAGTAAATATCATACTTAAAGCAAAACAAATCAAAACAAAACCAACCCAATAGATTTTAATATAATCACAAAACAATGGCATTACTTCAATTTTATTGTTAGCTTCCAAATCACATCACCCTAGGAATTAGCAAACTTCCTTACCTTGTCCAATTAGGACAAAGCGGTTTTTTTTTTTAATATGCCCACTGACATGATTACACTAGAATTACTTATGTCTTTAGAGTTGGGCAGTAACATGTTGCAATGAGTGACAGTCATCAAAGAAATCAGCAGCATTCATTCATTGACTTCAGTGTTCTGTATTCACATAAGCAAGTTCATTCCTATGTCTTATGCGTCAAAAGAAAACAAATAAAAAGCTGTAAAATATTAATATTAGGAAAATATTATTTTTCTTGTGAACTTCTATGTCTAGCTGGAGTTCTTTGTTTCTAATATGTACTGAAAGCAGCAAACATCTTTTTTTTTTCACATTTTTCCCAGAGCCAAGCGATATGTTGATGGAGAAGTCATTTTAGTCAGGCAAGATACTCAAGCTAATGTATCAGTACTGGCATGATAGTTTGTCAAATATTATCTACATTTCCTGAAGGATTTTTGTACCTGGAGCGTTCACCACAAATTAACTGTAGTATCTCTGTCCCTGCATGATGCACATCGTCGCACTTCTCTCCTTTATCATAAATTGCATGCCAGGCCTTCAGCTTTTTAAAATGATAGCAATAGAGAGAAGTCTTAAGAATGTGGTGGGAGGTAAAAGCAGATGCTTTCTTTTTCAGCTTACCTAGTGTATATTGGAATAAAAGTATTTCCAAGATAGTGGATTTGTTACTGGCAGCCTTCAAGAAAATGATTATATAATTATACTAAGCATGATTTGTCATATCATTACACATCCCTCACAATGTTCATTATTTGAGAATAAGGGATGCTGGAATCTTTAAAATTCAGTGCCCACACAAAAGCTAAAAGTAGCTATTCTGCTCACCGGCCCCTACAACAACCCTATTCAGGTAGTAACAATAAAGTGAGACAGACTTTCAGATGCTCTCTCTTCATTCATTCAATGAGTTCATTAATCATATGTTATCCAAAACCTGCAGATTATATAGTGATTCCAGCTTTCATAAGAAGTTATTAAGTGTTATGCCTTTGTGTCTCGGGAAGGATGATGATGAAAAAATTTAAAACCTGTGCTTTGCTAGGCCTAGAAATCTTGGATTGAGTGATGAGAGTCAGGAAAGGATAAGCATGAAAGGCTTTATAATAGAAATGAAATAAATAATCCTAGCATAAAAATAATGGAAGATAGATTCAGGGAGAAATTTTTTTACTGAGAGAGTGGTGAAGTGCTGGAACAGGTTGCCAAGAGTTGTCGATGCCCCATCCCTGGAGGTGTGTAAGGCCAGGTTGGATGGATGGGGCCCTGGGCTACCTGATCTAGTACTTATCTAGTGGCTGGCAACCCTGCCAATGACAGGGAGTTTGGAACCTGATGATCCTTGGGGTCTTTTCCAGCTAAAGCCATTCTATGATCCTATGACTCCTACAGTGCTGTGAAATGGCTCAATTCTCTTCTTGGTTTGGTCTGCTGAGTCATGGGGATGCTCCAGTTTGTGCATGGCTGTGCCAGATGAAGGTGGCTGCCTTATTCTGGTTTTACTGTAACTTACTGAACCTGTTATATTGCAGTTTCCATTGGCAAATGATTACATTCCACAGACTCCGTGGTAATTTTACAAATACAACAACAAATCAGAAGGATGTGAACAGTTCATCAACAAACAGATCCAAGTGGAAGCATACTCTTTTTTCCTCAAAGAACTTTGTAAGCAAAAGCACGAATGAGTAGATATTTTTAGAGCAGCATTTGTCTTAGCTAACACAAGAGATCTTAGCTCCCTCGGCAAGCACATACATTAAAATTGTTTAGAAGTTTAATTTCCAACATCTCGTTCATTAAATTGAAAAGATGGGTGAGCAGAAATATGGCTTTGCTCCTGTACCAGCATCAGCTACAGAAAAAAAAAAAAAAAGATTTATGTGGTGGATGTATCTTTCCTGCTCTGTAGCTGATGACATGTGAGAGATACTAACCTTGCTCACCAACATCTGAGATCTCCAATGGGGCTGGGTTGTGAGATACTTCAGCCTCAAAGAACTTTCCGAATGGACATGGTGAGAACGGCTGTTTCACTGCATGCAATCAGCCTGCCTACCACGCAGGGACAACCAGCACGCAGATGGGGTAAGTGCCCACAATTCTCACTGAACTCTTCAGTTCTTCATCCTGGAAATCCTAATTAACTACATGCCGGGAGTGACTTGCTCAACAAGTTGGGCTGGGATGTAGGCGTCCAGCCTGCTAAAACCCATGCTGCACAGATCTGCAGGGGTTCAGCCCTCCCTACTCACCTCTCTACCAAAAACCCACACCTGTTGCACCCAGTGAACCTCTCCCAGCACTGTCCATGGATGTGCAGAGAGCACTGCAACAGGGACACCAGTGCAACGGCTCAGTACAGCTCAAAGAGGCAAGGTTAAATAGAAAGTAAAGCACTTGTGTGAGGAAGGAGGTCATTTATTCTTCCATTCTGCGGCGGCATACAGAAGCACATGATAGCAAGGCATATTTTTAGATCTGAAGTTACCTTTATTAACACGTGAGAAACTGCGAATGAAAGACTTGAAAGAAGATGTTAACAGAGTACGCTGGAAGGCAGCAGAATGGAGAAGGTGAATTACGCTCTGATTCATTTCTGATACTCAGGAACACATGAGCACAACCCAAAACGCCTGGACAAGGAAAAGCTGGTTTTGCTGTCAGGAGCGCAGGTTACCACGAAAAACAGCAGGAGCTCCACTCCAAAAGATATCAAACCCCAGGGGCCGGGCTTGGCACGGCCTGGAGCTGTCAGCTCTGGGCGAGCCAGCTCAAACGATAAACAGCATCGTTATCCCGGCCCCGCCATTTTGAGCTGGCCGGCCCCGCCCGCAGTGCCGCTCGGAGCGCTGCAGGGGGCGCTGCCATGGCGGCTGGTGGTGCCGCGCCGCTACCGCACGCCGGGCCCGCCCCGTCCGGCCCGCGGGGCGGATGAGGCGTTGCGCTGGCAGCTGGTTCCTGTTGTCGTGTTGGGCCTGCCGAGCCGGGCCGTCATGGAGGCCAGGAAGATGAACCTGCCGCGTGGCCCCGAGAACCTCTGCTTCGACAAGGACGAGTTCATGAAGGTGGCTGGGGGCCGCGTGTGCCCCGGGGATGAGCGGGGGGGGCTGCAGCCTCGGTCGGGCTCTTCGAGCCCACAGCGGGGAAGCGGTGTGTGTCGCTGGGGTTGATCCAGGGGAGGGGACGGATGGGACGTGTGTGTGTGTGTGTGCGCTTGGTTTGCACTTCTCCTTCCATCGTTCTCCTTTTCCTGTTTCATTTCCAGCCGGATTTTGACGTCGATCACTTTGTATCCGAGTGTAGGAAGCGCGTGCAGTTGGAGGAGCTCAGGGAGGATCTGGAGCTCTATTACAAACTCCTGAAAACGGCCATGGTAGAGCTCATAAATAAGGACTATGCGGACTTTGTTAACCTCTCAACGAACCTGGTAAGTTTACGGTGTCATCTTTACAGTGTGCATTGTAACGTGCTTCTTGTTTCTCGTGTGAAAAGCATGTGTTAGATTTAGGGCATCTTAAACAGTGGCTCCTTGCACTGAGAGGAGGTGAAAGACCATTCCTGGAGAGTTAGCTAAAGTAGAGGATTGACCCATGATAAATGTTTTAGAATGCACTTTTGTTGTGTAACTCGTGAGGAAAACAGATTCGAGGCAGACGCTTTCTGTTTTCATCTGCTAAAGTTTGTAGAATTGAAGGCTGTGAGTCATTAACATTCAGTAGTAAAGTTTTAGACAAGGCCACTCTGCAGGATTCTTTAGGAGTCTTCAAACTTGCTGTCCCTTCTTTAGAAGTTCCAACTCATTTTACCTAGAGTTTTAATACCTTCCGTGTTAAAATTACTTGTTCCCTATTTCTCCTACTCTTTTACCTCTGTTTACAATATTTTACAGGTTCAGAGATTGAGATTTATCTTTTTTATTGTAAGAAAAGTTGTTATAGATTGTGATTTTCTTTCACTTTTGGCTTTATGTGACAATCTGATATCTTTATACGTGCATTTAAAGTAACATCTTTTTGTATCGCACTTATATCCTCCTATAGACTCCAGTTTTCTCAGTTCTCCTTCAGTGTCTATAGAATAATAGTAATTCAGCAATTAACTTACCAAATGAGTTGTAAAAGTTTTTATGGTAATTTCTTTAGGTTGGCATGGACAAAGCCCTCAATCAGCTTTCAGTACCCTTGGGACAGTTAAGAGAAGAAGTTATGGTATGCTCAAAGAAGTCATTATAATTTGTATTCATTTCTGTGTGATATGTAAACTACATTTTATTTATGTTAGTCTTTATTATAATCTTAAAAAGTTATTCCTAGTTGGGTAATAGAGGAGATGTGTTTTCTAAGACTTGCAGTAAACTTACATTTCTTATGTTGCAGTAGTGCCTTTCAATCAAGTGATAATGGATTCCTTAAATAATAAATGAGTGAACTTCTGCAAGATAAATCTATACAAAATGTTGGAACTATTTCTGTCTTTTTTTACTTTGAGAGTAGTTAATCTATTTCCTATTCTGCATTGTTAGAGATTAGATTTTCAATTGTTTTTTTAAACTACTTCTTCATAGTAGCAAGCCAGCTTTTCATTCTGACTTTTTTTCTCTCACAGAGTCTAAGGTCATGTGTCAGTGAAGGAATTCAAGCAATAGATGATCGTCTGTCCAAACAAGAAGATATCAGGAAAAAAAAGGTAAAATAGACAAATTATTACCTTGAAGAGATGCCTATTAGGGCAACTTCTGACATTAACCCCTAGAAAATTGAATTTACAAAGATCCAGGCCATGTAGCTGCATACTGTGCAGAATTTTGTGGTTGTTAAACTGAGAGATTTTGATTGACTGTCTTCATTTTTATTATGTCTTCTTGACAATAAATATTTTGTTTGTTGGCTTTTTTAATTACAGCTGCTCTTACTTTTGCTTGTAGTAGTCTGTAAACTTGTATGTTGTGAAAGTAATTGAAACACAGCAGCTTAATTTTTGTATGGGGGGAAAGTAACATTTGACTTGTTGCTTGACGTGGAAAAATTCAGGGGTAAGAACAGCTGTTCTCCCACATTGTGGGATTTTACAAACTCACGTGGTCAGTAACTGATATGTGATTTAAATATCAAGAAGGCAGAGATTTTACATCAGGGGAGAAAAATAATAATTTAAAAAAAAAGTATCCCATATATCTTCAGAGGTGTTGTAATGGGTTTGAGGTCAGACATTAAAAAGTCTTTCTTTATTTATAGGTGTGTGTCCTGAGGCTTATCCATGTTATTCAGTCAGTTGAGAAAATTGAGAAAATTCTACATTCCCAAGGCACTAACGAGTTATCCACTTTAGAAGGAAACAGGTAAAAAAAAATAAGAAAAAGTGCTTGCTTAGTTGATGGGACCAACTGAATTTCATGGTATTGTTGTAGATGAATTTACAGACATTAAAGTACATCTTTGTAATTCTGGTAGAATATGTGACTATTATTTTAGTATTTTTTTCGAGCTTAGACTACAGACTGGTCATTCATAGATCACATAACAGCCTCCAGTGTTCTTGTAACGATGAAGTTTGCGTAAAATGTTTGGTGAAATAATCCTGCCATGTTCAGAATACTTTGCAGTCCTGCAGATGTGGTTTCCTCCCGTATCATTTGGAAATAAAGTGTGGGTTAGCATTTATTGCTTTACTTGCTTATGTATATATGAAGTGACTACAGCAGGAGTAGCCTGAGGCAGACAAGCCACACTAGTAGTGCTTCTGAAAAGTTTTGAGAAGACTTGGACTGTGAGAAGTTTTGATTTTTAACAGCGTAGTGGAAAGTGTCCTTTCCCTCTATCTTGGAGTGATGGAAAATGTCTTTTGGTCGGTTTTGTAACTGATGTACCATCCGGGTGTTTGCAGTAGTTGATTATAATGCAAGTGTTACTTAAAGGCAGAGGAAAAAGACAATTTCATGAACCTGTTTGAACGTGAGATAAGCTCTGGTGTTCTGCTGGATCATAAAGCAGTGAGTGGGTGGAGGTGGACAGAAGACTAACTAGATACACAGAACAAAAAAGCATATGCAAGTGTTTTCTGTCAGGATCAGAGACTTTGTAGAATCATGTTTGGAAGCAAGACTGCTTCAGTGACTCAAAATTTAGGCTAATTATTGGCACCATATAAACTTGAGAAGGGTGGTTTCTCTAGAAATAGCTGTCGTTAATTTTACCATTGGACAAAAGGAGGAAATAAAGAAATTTGGATGGTAAAGAGCACTTACTGCAGTTTTTGAGCTCTGTGAGACTGATATCTGTGACAGCAAGCATCATCACAAAATAAAAGAACACTTCATACTTCTAGGCAGGATCTCATGGTCCTCAGCTTCTGCTCACAGATTTTATATCCTCATGGGCCCCAGACAAGTCTGATAGTCTATGTGTTATTATCATGTGATTGCAGCATACTAAATTTCAAATATTTATGTCAAATCACAAAAATTGAGGTTGTCACCTGTTTGATGCAGATGACAGTGAGTTGATACGAAAGGATCTGTGTATGCTCATTTTCTCATTGTTTCTTTTCCAGCCCGCTTTTAACTGGACAGGTTTTAGAGAGAATTGCCACAGAATTTAATCAACTACAATTTCATGCAGTACAAAGCAAAGGAATGCCCCTTTTGGACAAAGTGAGACCAGTGAGTGTTGCCTGATATCCAGCTTAACATTTGCATGATCAAGCTAAAATGATAATATTGGAAAACAAAAGTCCATTTCCACAAAGGAGAAAATTATTTTCAAGAGGCCATTTTATCAGCTGTTATCAAGTGTTATTTCTTGTCTTTTGTTTGCTAACGTTAGGATAAATTACTTAAAATAATAGTGGGAAATATGACAGGCGCTTTTGTTAGCCTAATGCATCTTGCAGTCTGCTTATTAATAGCAGAGTATAGTTCCAGAGGTGTATATTGTTTTTATTACCTGCAGCATACAGACCAAAATATAAATTGGATATGCCTTAGAGTGGCTGACTTGAATAAATTCAAGTTTGTCTTTCTCTGGTATTTGGTGCCTTACTGTTGGTGTCCTGGCTGGCAGGCTAATCTCCCTGATAAGCCTGTTTATAGTAACTATCTAGTGTAAAAGATGAACTACTGTTTTTTTTTTTTTCCCTAGACATCCATTTGTGAGAAGGAACAAAGGCAGGTGCTTAAGAAGTAGATAGTGTGAGTTGAGGTAATGCTTCAAGCAGATTAGCATGGAAGCTGTCATTCTTGATGGCTTTTGAACTAGTGAGATGTTTCATCATTACAGCTTCTTGTTATTACATATTCCTACTGGCAGTATGAGCTTGTTTTATATCAGGACTTCAGTGGTACCTTGTTGATTCGTGGACTGCTCACAAGACTATTCTGTCTACTGAATTATGAAATAACAGCAGGAGTAGATGTGAGCAACAGAGTAGTATTTATGATGGGAGAACCATTGTTCCTTTGTTGTGTAGCTTTCTTAACAATATTTGCCTGGTCTTCTATACTTTTTGTTGATGTCCCAGTTTTGGTTGGGTGATCTCTTAATAGAGCCTGTTTGGTGCTTTTTTAAATTTATTTTGGACTGGTGATTTGAAAAATTTGAATGTACCAATGTTTTAGTTGTCATCAGATAGTGGTTTCCATGACTGGTCAGCAGTTGGATTATTGGCTTTGTGTATTCAGATCAGATTCTCTGATCATGTAAAAAATAACTTTAAGATGAATGTGTGCAATATAGCATGCCAACTGCTAGAGAGAAAATTTGACTTGTTAAATTGGTAGTTCAACTTTGATTGAATTATTGCATGTTATTGAATTCACTTTTGTACAGAGCTGCAAGGGACCATCTTGGGCCAATGTTGTATCTAATGTAGCAGGGAGTTGGATCTAATAGAAGAAATGTTGTAGGGGAAGAGGAAAAATGATTAGGAGAATATACACTGAGCAGGAGGATATATGCTGACTGAAGCGGCTGTTTAGCAGAAGCCAGAAGGAGAAGGAAAGTACTGGCAGATCATTTGTTGCCAGTATAATTCAATGTCTTTGGTTTGCAGTTATTTGGAAAGTAGTGCTGTGAACACGCTATAGTTTTAGTTTTTGACAGAGGGATAAATGCTGCAGTTGTTACCCAGGTAACATACTGAAAAACTTTTGTGTATTATCACACACAGTTGTTCAGCTGAACAAGGAATAATTATCGACCTATTTCTTCACTATAATGAGTACCTTAGATAATTTATGATGTCTCTTTCAAAATATACAAGAAAATAATTGCCTTTTAATTTAACTTTATAACAATAAATACTGTGTTAAATAACGTCAGTAACCAAGTAAGCTTGTGTTAATTTTCATTTGATGTTAACATTTATTAGAACTTGCGTGCCTTTCAAATAAAAATTGAAAGCTGAATCAAGTATTTCTGGACGAATTTACTTTAGCAGTGATGACAAGGCTTTTTTTTTTTCCTAACTACCATGTTTTGTTTCTCTTCATAGCGTATAGCTGGAATAACAGCTATGTTGCAGCAGTCTCTGGAAGGACTGCTCTTAGAAGGTCTTCAGACTTCAAATGTTGACATAATACGTCACTGTCTTCGCACTTATGCAACAATTGACAAAACACGAGATGCAGAGGCTTTAGTTGGTCAAGTGCTTGTAAAACCTTACATGGATGAGGTAAGAGAAAATCAGGAATCCTAGGAAAGTGAACTGACTTGCAAGAAAACTTATTTTTCCAGCTTCGGTTAGCAGTTTCAAAGTACCTTTGTGAAGGGAGCGAGGGAACTGACCATGTCGTTTTCTGTTTCTTTTACTTAAGGAAAAAAGGTGGAGGAATTCTCTATTTACCTGTCACCAATTTTGGGTACATCCATTTGAGGTTCTTTACCTATGTTTTTCTTGGGCAGGGGAGAAATCCAACTAACAGACTTGAAACTAAGCAGATGACTGTAATAAAATACAATTTATTCTAGACCGGAGTGCATTGGATCAGGACTGGAGTGAGCATTTCTCATCAGCTGGCTCAGTACCAAGCAAATGCAGCAAAAGTAGTTCTTAGTGCAATGTCCTTTTCTTCCCATTGTGTGAAGAAGCAATATCTGCAATTCCCACCACTGCCAGAACAAAAGCAGGAGCAAGATCAAGGCTTTATTTGGGAAGCATTGACTCTTGTAAGAGCAGAGTGGCAATAGATGCTGAGAAAGTTTTCATCAGTGCGTTGGCAGTTGTGTCCAGGTCAGGTAGTAGTGATGTGTCATTGCAGGCAGATAATTTTTTCTCTACTGGGATAGATGTGAATTGATGCCCTTTTACAGTATAAGTTCTAATGCTAACTAATTGCCCAGGGAGTTTCCCTGGTTTTCAGTAGATTATCAGAATATTTTATAAAACTATTATATTCACTGGTCTTACAGAAAAAGTTAAGCTGGGCCAGTGCCAGGGCTATAAAGTTGTTCTAAAACTAGTGTTACGCGCGACTCGACAGTGCTAATTATGGTTTCCTACAGGAAAGTTGAGGAGGGACTTTTTGTAAGGGCATGTAGTGACAGGACAAGGGGAAATGGCTTTAAACTGAAAGAGGGTAGGTTTAGACTAGATATTAAGAAGAGCAGTGAGGGTGGTGAGACACTGGAACAGGTTGCCCAGAAAGGCTGTGGATGCCCCCTCCTTGGAAGCAGGGAGGCCAGGCTGGATGGGGCTGTGGGCAGTCTGGTCTAGAGGGAGGTGTCCCTGCCTATAGCAGGGGGGTTGGAACTGGGTGATCTTAAAGGTCCTTTCCAACCCAAACTATTCATTGATTCTGTGCTTGGTTTTCCAAGCTTTCACTTCTGTGTCCCTGGGGAGGAAAGGCCTTGAAGTATGAGAGCTGCCTTGGTGGTTGTGATTGCTCAAATTGGTGTATGCTGATAGGAAACAGAATAGATCTTGTTTCCCTCATCATTACTTCTTAAAGAGATAACACTTTTCAGTGCCTTTAGGTCCCAAGTTACATTGCTGTAATGTACATCTTTCTCTTTGCTTTGTCCAGATTTTCCTTTATTACCATTACTCTTGAAATGGAGATGTTTAATAATGTTTTCCTTGCTTCATAAACCTCTAAGTGAGAGGCATGGGATGATGCAAGACACTGTTCTGCTCTCAGGATATTTAAAACAATTATTCTCTACTGGCTTTTTACACTCATATTAAAGAGTTAACATTTCTATTAAGACTCATAAAAGCAATTTGAACATTATTCCTATAAACATTGAATGTGTAGCATTAGGCAATATTAATTGCCTTTTCTTAGGGTGGTGTGCCTTTTTACACATAAATGCAGAAGTGAACTTAAGCTGTTTGTTTCCTTCTTTTATTTAGAGGCAGTTTGCCACATAGTGTTTCTAAGCAAGGCAAGCAAAAGCAAATCTGTGTAACTTCTGATGAAGGAGTTTGTCTAAATCAAGATAGGGGAAATAAATTACTTCTTTTTTTAACACTTAGTAATTCCTTCAGCAGCCAAGATGTGGAATTATTTACCTTCCCCAGTGAAAGAATAGTCTATCTGATAAAACGTGAGCTGTTTATCATTGTCAGTAGGATGCCTCTTCCCTTCTTTAGAAAAGGAAACATTTAAAATTGTTCTGTTTTTAGTTTGTGTGCGCCTACTCTTAAAAAACAAAGCTCATGGCTTTTGAATGGTAGAAGAAGTAGAATGTTGGTGACCCATCCACTTAAGAATGGACTTCCTTTGGGTGCTTTCTAATGCTGTAGCAACTGCTGCAGTAGGAGATGGTCTTCTTTCCTCAAGGAGATGTGTCCTGCTTGGAAACTGGGAAAGCAACATACTGAATATTGCAGGATTTTTGGATATGGTATTGGGAATTCTGAGTGAATAGACATCTGAATCTTTTATTACTGTATTTCATACTTGCTCTTCTGATGTTCAGCGTTGAATCTTCCTGACAGGTGATTGTGGAGCAGTATGTTCAGGCTCATCCTAACGGCCTTCAGGCCATGTACAATAAACTGCTGGAGTTTGTTCCTCACCACTGCCGTCTCTTGCGTGAAGTTACAGGGGGAGCTATTTCAAGGTAAATGTTTGGGGTTTCTTTCAATTGCTCTAAAGTTACCTCAAAGATAATATATTTTTGAAGTATCTTGTGTATTGACCTTCCATGCACAAATGACTTATGAGGTCTTTCCTGAGGATTCATATTCAACAGTGAACAAATTTTCTTGGATCTGGGGTCCAGACCTTCACAGGAGGCAAATAAAATCCTATATTTCAGTATTAGAATTGAGTACTAATCATGATACAATGTGCCACAAATCTAGGGTTTTGCTGTTTTTTTTGTGACTCAAGGAAACATGATTGAATGTATCATCCAAGGGCATCATAAAGCTATTAGAAAACAGAAGTTCAAAAGTGACTGAGTTGCTAGGGTACAAAAAAAAGTGGAGTTCCCCAGCAATTTGACAGATTTATTGCATGACACGTTTAATTGATTCCTATGGTACTTCCACTGTTGTCTTTAAAAGAACTTAATTGCTTATGCAGCTAAATTGCCTTTTCTGAAGTTGAAATGTTTTATGTGTACTGAATCGTATCCACTTATCCATCTGCTTGCAGGCTGGTTAATACAGTGGAATGCTGTAATTAGCAAAACTACAAACGCATCCCATAGGGACTGCAGAATTATTTTTCTAGTCATCGTTTGCTCTTAAATTGTATTAGTGTTTCAATACTTCTAATCTTCTGGCAAGATTTTTATCTGTATTTGTCATTATTTAAGGTTTTGACTTTTTATACTGAAATGGAAAGAAATGCTTGTGTCTATTCTGCTCTTGATTTATAAATTTTCCTAATGAGGGTGGCTTTCAATTCTTTGTTTGGAACCACTGTAACATGTATAAATACAGCTTGGAACAATGACAAGGGATAATTCTTTTTCTTTCGTTGCATAAGTCACCTTGCACATATTTGCTAATTCTTTCAAGTTTGGAGCTGTTTAAATCTTGAAAATATGTGAGTAAGAGTTAGGAGTTTTCAGCTGAAAAGCAGGTGCTTTCCGGACACGTTTGCAAAATATGTAACAGATAAAATTGTGAAACACTTCCAGGGTTATAAAAATACTTGCAACTTGTTGAGATCATTGGGATCATCCCAACCTGGAAGGAAGAACGGTATAAGAGAATCAGCATTCCTATGTTTAAAAAAAAAAAAGTAATTACATTTTGTCTAATGCATTGCATGTCCTTTTAGTTATCCTTACCTCTAAATAGAAGCCTAGTGGTAAAATACAGCCATGGAATCATTTCATTTTTATTTCAGTGAAAAAGCGGATATTGTTCCTGGATATGATTTCTTGGTGAACTCAGTGTGGCCAGAAATAGTACGTGGTTTAGAAGAAAAACTGCCATCACTGTTTAACCCTGGAAACCCAGATGTGTTTCATGAGGTAATTAATTTTGTGACTTATTTTCCATTTGTTATTTCTATGACACACATATGAATGAGTCATATTCTCTAGCTTTTTTTTTTCCTACTACTTTTATGTAAACTTCTGTTGTGCTTGGAAGAGAAGACTATCTCACAACACTTGATTTTTTTCATAGTAATTAATTCTCCCCTCAGGTTTGTCAGCATCGTGGATTCAATTTGGTACCTGATATGGTGCTGTGTTTTGGATTTAGCATGGGAATTATGTTGATAACAGACTGGTGTTTCTGTTGATGCTGAGCAGTGCTGCACAGAGCCAAAAGCCTTTCAGCTTCTTGTGCTGTGCTACTGGTGAGGAATTGGGGGTGCATGAGGAGGGGCTGAACCAGGACAACTGATCCGAAGTGGCCAGACGGATGTCTCCTATCTTGTGGGTTCATGTGGAACTGTAAGACTGGGGGAGTTAGCTGGAGGGGCTGCCACTGCTTGAGAACCTGTCAGGCATTGGCATCAGTCTGCAAGTGGTGAGCAATTGCATTGTGCACCGCTTGTCTTATGTGTTCTATTATTATTATTTTCCACTTCTTTCCTGTCCTGTTAAACCAATCTATGTCTCAACACAGAAGATTTACGTTTTTTTTTTCTTCCCCCCAGTTTTCTCCCACATCCCATGCAAGGAAACAGGGTTGGGGGGAACAGATGGCTGTGTGGGGCTTAGTTGTGTGCTGAGTTAAACCACAGCTGTCAGGAAAGCTCTTACAGGGGTTACTGGAAGCCAGATTGTCATGTGAATTTGGCCTTAAATATTTGTTTTAGGAGTAGCTGTCCTTTTTTAGTTTTAGAATTGCAAAATTGATGAAGGTGGAAGTGGATGGCTACGGTGTTTTTGCAAGATCAGGACTTCTGTATATAGAAGGCTGTCGTCTTAGTTTTTTAATTGAACAGCTAGGTTACAGCTTGCCTTAATACCTCTCCGTTTCCCACAAAGTTTCAATCATCCTTCAGGCTTTCACCTAACGTTATGACTTGTGCTATTTGCGTTATACAAGAGTTTTTTTTCTTTTTAAACAAGTATTTTATACTTAAAATATACTTTAAAACCTTTTATCTTATGTTGAGCTGATATCAACCAGTGGTGCTGTTGTGTTATTTAAAAACAACAACAGCAACAACAAAGAAACACCCACAATGACTTTCAGTTACTTGATGTAGTCAGTCTAAAGTTCTTAAGTTCTTTCAAGACTGCTTTTGTCTATTTAAGATAAAAATTGGAGTCTAGGTCATTAAAATATTTTATCTGAAAATCACTGAAGTGCCAAGTGTAAAAGTGCTCATGTCTGTGGAAGAACTGGTAGGAGTAGTTAAAAATGAAGGAGGGAAAAATACTTGTGAAACACTTGCCATGTTGCTGATAATCTATTAATGCAGACTGTAGTCAGTAGTCTTCTAACTTTGTTTTCTTGGTTGATAGAACTGCAGAGTAGTCTTTTTCTCCAGGTTGGTTTGGTTATTTTGCATATGTAAGTATAGCTGTAATACTTGAAAGTATTATCTGTTAAAGGGTCTTTATATATAAGAGAAATAAAATACTGTACTTTCATTCTCATGTGCGTTTGGTGGAGCATATTTCTGGAAGTAACTAAAATCCATCTGTTGTATCCCTTTATTTCTCATTTACTAGGACTGACTGTTCTTAGTGCTGTGCACCAGTGTTGCTCCACGTTGGTGATTTAGCTCAGAAATACTTATAGGTCTCTCTGATCTGGTTGTTGAGGTAACTCAGACAATTTTATGATTTCCAGGAGTGCGGTGCACTGGGTATTTGTATTGCAGAGTAACACCTATTAGATAACTGGTTTTGGTTTCACTGCAGGATTTTGGCATTATATGATTAGGTATCGGTGTTGGCCTGTTCTGAGCCTTGAGCTTAACTGTAGGCTGATATGGGAGTTCTTTTCAGAGGGTTGTGGCCTTCACTGCTTAATGGGACCCTGGCAGTGATCAGAATGCTCATTTTCTTCCTGCAGAAGTACACTACCAGCATGGATTTTGTACGGAAGTTTGAACGGCAGTGTGGCTCACAGGCCAGTGTGAAACGGTTGAGATCTCATCCCTCCTACCACAGCTTTAACAACAAATGGAACTTGCCTGTTTATTTTCAGATAAGGTTGGTAAGCATCTGTTGGTCATTTCAAAAGTAAAATGTGCTGTGTGTCATCTCTCTCATTCCAGAGTCACAGAATCATTGAATCATAGGGGTTGGAAGGGACCTCTGGAGATTGTCAAGTCCAACCCACCAGCTAAAGCAGGTTCCCTACAGAAGGTTGCCAAGGTTGAAAAGTGTTCTGAGAGTCTCTCAACAGCTTGAGGGTAGTGCAGCACTGTTAATTGGGAATCAGAGTCATAAGCAGAGGCAACTAACAATTTCCTTCCTCAATTTTTTGTTCCACATGTCTTTTAGTTTGCATACACGCAATGAGGATGAATGCTTGATTTTATGGATTGTTCTTGTTTACAGTCCACAATAGTAATGAATTTAATGAATGCTTTTAGTTTAGAAGGTGCTGGCTGAAGAACTGTTCTGGCTGTGTTGTATACCCTGTGTTGTACCCTAACTATATGTAGCCTCTTGTCCTGCTTGAATGTGGTTTGGATAATGTTTTCTCTGCTGGCAAATCCAGTCACAAGATTTTCTTGCCTCTGTTTCCCACTATGCTACACATTTATTTGTTCCACCTCAGTTGTTTGTGGGGCTGACCTACATCCTGGATCACTGAAATTATCAGGTCTATTTAAGAAATAAAAAAGGAAGTAGGTGGTGGCAGCAAAGGGAATGATACGCAAAAAAAGAAGGATAAGGAAGTGAGGTTTTTTTTTAACCTGGATCACCACGGTGGCTTTCCTTATTGCGTGTCTATAAATGATAATTATGGTACAGCCATAGCCACATTTATACAGCAGGTTTAATCCAGTGTAAATCTGATGCTGCTGAAAAGTTCCATCTGGGAATCTTATGAGAGCTGGAGCTAATTCAAGATAAGTGATAGGAACATGGGGATGGGAGCATTTTGTTAGTGTTTTGATGATGTGCTACATTTTGTAAAGTGGTGGTCCTGGCCTCTTCTGACATCCTTCTTTATTTTTTTTCCACTTGCACGACTGTTCTGCAGCTGTGTAGTGAACAACATGAAGAACTGTTACCTTGGGCAAAAAAAAAGCTGTCTTCCAACTCCAATCAATTTTTCCAAGCCACTTAACTGTACAAATATTGATGCTGGCCCAAGGGAAAGGGCAGGAGTACTCACTACAATAGTGGTGCTGACTGTGCAGACTGTAGAACTACAGCAATTATAAACTTCTTAGCAAAAGGCAGGTATCATTAATGAGTCTGTGAATCTGCCCTTCTGTTTGAAAACACAGCTTTTCTAACAAGTGACCACTTGATCAAGCTGTAATACTGCTGTTCTAAACATTGAAATGCATCTTCAGCATATTCTTTTAGAAGAAAATAATAATCTCTTAGATGTTTTGAGTTCTGGCTAACAAAAAGGAAAAAAAGTAGTAATTCTCTTTTAAGATTACTGTAAATCCAAAAGAGTGCACTATTTCAGCAGATGATTGGGTAACAGGAATTGCTTCATCTTTCATCATTGTCATTCCTATATGTTGGAATGATCTGATAACTTTTGGAATTGCCCATGAATCCTTTAGTACACGAATAATGAAACATTCATTGCATGGAAGCTTTTTCTTTGCTGTATATAACTGTCCCCAAGTCACACAGGATTTGTATTGAAGTGTGTTCTTCCACTATTGCACTTACGGTTAAGATTGCTAGTTTTTTCAGTTACAGAAATTGCCCAGAACAAAGAGCCCTCACTAAAGCCTGTACAAAGGAGTCTGTAAGGAATAGATGGACGTAGAGGCATTTCTTCTGTAGCAGTGCAGGTACCAGCAGCCTCAGTAACTCTTTTCCTTGCCATTTCTTTCAATTACATCAGTACAACAGATAATGGGACTGTAAGGAACTCATGCTTGTGATTGTTTTCCCATGTAAGGAATATTCAGCAAAAGCTGAATAATTTAAAAAAAAAAAAAAGTGATTCAGTTCTCTAATTCATTTCACTGTAAGACCTGAATGTGCTGCTTTGTCAGTGAAAGTGTTGCACAGGCAGGAATTAATATTTGAAACCATTTCACAAATACTTCAAAATACATGCTAACTGTTGGTAGCAAATGAACAAGAAACCTCTTGTGGGTTTCTTCCTCTTTGATGTGTCAATCACAGAATTGCTGCTTAAATTACTTTAAATATGCATCTGGTACATTAGTAGCTGGAACAGGAAAAGCTGGGCAGGTGCCTGCTCTGATTTGGAAATGACAGTTGAGAAGTTTTAAAATGATCCTTGCAGGTTCATGATTAGGAAGTTTGGTAGCTGTAGAGATTACTGTGATGAACATAAAAGCAATAAGGAAGAATGACAAAAGCTTTCAATAGAGAAGTTTAAAATATAGTTTTATTTCAGAGTTAGGAATAAAAATGCTACTAATGATTACATTTTTACCCAAGGGAAATGCTGTCTTATTTGCTGTTAATCTTCAGGGAAAAAAAAAAAAGGCAAAAAAGAGGAGGGTAGGGCATCCTGTGGGGAACTATTGATTTTTGTCAGGTACAGAGTTGTTTGCAGAACCTTATGCCATTAACAAACACATAGAAAGCTAAAGGCTCCCAGTGCCACGTGACATACCTGAAGGTCAGCTTAAGTAAGTATGAGGTAATGTGTTCACTTCTAGTGTGAAAACATTAACAATTAGGAAAAAGAACCCACAAACACAAACCTTTACTCCATAAAAAAAGACCTAAATACTTGACATGATCTTAATTCTAAGTTACATGTTTATTTGTAATATGTACGTTTTAAATCTGCCTATATAAAATGAAATGTTGTCTTTCAAGTATTTGTTGATTGTTGGCCTTATTTATATCCTGGGTCATGTTGAGGAAAATAATAAGTGTATAATCTGTCAGTGTGTGTACACTAATGGCATACAGACTGAACGTTGAAAAGTATTGAGGCATCAATTTAAGAAATGATTTATTTATAATCAAAATTTTTCTGTTTTTCAGATTTAGAGAAATAGCAGGGGCCTTAGAAACTGCACTTTCAGATTCCCTAGAGGAAGCACCAGGTAAACTTCCACTGAAAATTATTAGTTTCCCTATTGTGGTGAAAGCTGTATTTTAAGTAGCAGTGATTATTGCCTCTTCATCACTTACTAACTTGCATCCTTAGGGTTCATGTGTGCTGTTCTGGTTTTTTTTATGAACCGATTTAACAGTAGATTACATTTTTATGGGAAAGCAATATAGAAGCATTGTTTGGTGATCACTTCACTTACTAAAAACACTTCTTACGGTAGCAGTAATTAACGTATTTGTGGATCTGTTCCCTTATTTCAAAAAAGGTCTAAATTTCCACTTGGCAACCTGCATGTGATATCCAACGGGTTATGCTTTGTTGTTGGGGCACTTTTCTTGTTATGTGTGGAGAGGAAGATGTCTATCTGTTGGCAGCATTTAGGCTTTCTGTGGTTTGTATTGTTGGCTTCTACTCAATACGTGTACATTGATTTATGAGCAGGTGAGAAGGCAAGCATAGAAAAGATTATAATAGAAGGACAAACCTAGGGTATTTCTTAGAAGTATATTTTAATTAGACAAGCTTTTATTTCAGTTAATTGAGTAAAATAGCTGTGAGGAAGGCAGTGAAAAGTAATGTATGTATATAATGCACACATATGTATACATATATTTATACACATCTTGTGTGTAATATTTTGAACTTTAAGCTATTAAACTAAAGAAAGTAAGGAGGAAAAAAACTAATGAGTATGAAATGAGTAAATTCTACAACTTCAAGGCATTTATTTGTGACCGTGAGTTCCATTAATTAGCTTTTGGATTGTATGCTATAAAAATCAGAATCATAAGAATAGTCTGGGTTGAAAGGGACTTTAGGATCATCGAATTCCAAACCCCCTGCCACAGGCGGGGTTGCCATCCACTAGATCAAGTATTGGATAAGCTTGCCGAATGCCCCATCCAACCTGGCCTTGAACAGGGACAAGGCATCCATAGCCTCTCTGGGCAGCCTGTTCCAGGACCTCACCACCCTCTCAATGAAAAACTTCCCCCTGACATCTAAATCTAACCTCTTTTAATTTAAAACCATTCTCTCTCGTCCTACCACTATCTACCCATGTAAAAATTTTATATATAGTTTCCCTTTAAATGTTGGAAGACCGTAATGAGATTTCTGTGCAGCCTTCTCATCTTCAGTCTAAACAAATCTAGCTCTCTAGCCTGTCTTCATAGGAAAGGTGCTCCTGTCCTCTGATCATCTTTGTGGCCCTTCTCTCAACCCTCCAAAAGCTCCACATCTTTCCTGTGTTGGGGGCTCCAGACCTAGATATGGTACTCCAGATGGAGCCTCACAAGGGTAGAGTAGAGAGGGGCAATCATCTCTCATCCAGCTGATACACCCTGGATACCATTGGCCTTCTGGACTGCAAGCACACACTGCTAGCTCACATTAAGTTTTTCATCTACCATGTTTCCATGATAACAGTAAGATCATAGTTCTTCAATTGCACCACAGTTTCCAACTCCTCCTGCTAATTTCCCACTGCATGAATTGGTATAGAGAGGTACTTCAGCTGGTCTTTCAGCCACATTATCTTTCAAGAGGAAAAATGTTAATATATAAACTGCTTTATAAGTAGTTGGTTTCAATATGGATATTCCCACTGTGTTTCCAGTACCTATTTCTAGCATGTTACTCAAACTTAAGTATGAAAGGAACGATAGTTCAGTGCTAATACAGTTTTACTCTTGCATAAGGCCCTGCAAAGTATGCATGTCATTAGTCAATATTCTAAAGGAGTGAGGAGCTAGTATTTTCAGAGTTTGTTTTAGTCCGTGTTTAGTAAATCCTCTTTGCTATCTTTGTGGTTGTGTCTCAGGGATGTTTTTTTGTTAAATGTTGGATAATGCATTTATTAACATCACTAATTAACATCTTTCAAGAGTGTGCTTAGGAACTTAACTTTTGTTGCCTGATTCTTTTCAGAGGGCAGCTCGTATTGTCTTTTGGCTACTCACATGGTCTGGATGAGTCTTTTGAAGTGTTGGTCGGATCAAATGTTTTTACCATTGTTAGCACACCGTCTGTGGAAACTTAGTCTGCAAATTTTGGCACGTTACTCTGTGTTCATTAATGAGGTAAGAGAACAACGTAGTTATGGTTCTGAAGATTATGTCCATCAGTAAGAGACCTCTTTAAAAATAAAAATAAAAAAACACCAACAACAACAAAAAAAAACCCATACCTGATACTGGGGAATAATTGAGGATAAAAGGGACTTTTGGAAGTCAAATTCCTGCTTAAAACAGGGCCAGCATAGGAAAGGTTATGAAGACCTTGTTAGGTTAAATTTTGAATATCCAAAGGTGAAGACTTCACAGCCTCTTGAGCCTGTTTCCAATGATGGACCACCTTCACAATCAAATATCCTTGTATTAGATACAATTGCCTTTGTTGCACTTGTTCATTTCCTCTTACTCTGTCATTTTAACTTAAGGGAAAAAGTCTGATTCCATCTCCTCTATACATTCCCCTTAGGTTGCTAAAGACAATACTCCTTGTGAGACTGAATAGTACAGCTCTTTCAGCTGAATTGTCTCTTGAAAAGTGTTGATAAGTCTCAGAATTAAAACAGATAGCTGAGTGAAGCACATGCTTTGCAGTAGAGGGCTTGAGGAAGTGGGAGAAAGGAGATGATTGACAACAGTGAGTCATGTTTCTTGAAACCAAGAAAGACCTTGGCTAGCCTGCTTGTACAGGTATGAGCAAAAGGGCAGATAAATGACTGGGGAGGACTCAAACTCCTCCATTTGGTGACTTCATTGGCCTAGAAAATGCTTAAAACTCTCCTAGACATATCCCTGAGTATTCCTCTCAAAGGTGTGATAATGGAATAGATTGTGTGTTGATTCTTGGCTTTGACTCAAACACTCTAGCAGTGGAATTGGTTGTCTCTGCAGTGGAAAATTACCCATCCCACACAATCCACAGGTACAAACAGTTTCTGAAAAGCAGGTAATAATCAGGTCTGTTCATCTGAACACCACACTGGTGAAAATTACTCCACAACTGTACTGCCTTGTTGTATAGTGACAAAAAAGCTCAAAGTCATCAAATTACTTAGTGTACCAAAATCTGCTTTAAAATCATCTCTTTTTATGTAATTGAGGAATACAGTTATCTCTTGCAATTGCAACATTATAATGTCAAAAACTTACGAATCCTTTATATACTGTCTCTATAAATGCAACTTTACCTGCCTTTACTGTTGCCGGGATTCACATTTCAATTTGACATTTCAGGTTTCTGTAAGGCCCATTTCCAGTGAGAGTACAAAAGAAAGCAGAAAATTAATGCCAGCTGGTAGAAGGGAAACTTCTGTAAACCTCAGCTCTAATGAGGACCAAGGGAATGGATCTTCCCCAGAAAGTCAGCCTTTGCCTTCCATATCCAGTACTCAGTTGGTGCATGTTGCTGCAGATCTGGATAAACTCCAGGAAAAGGTTGGTACTTGTGACTTCACATACAGAAGTCTTTGTCAATCTGTGTGCCAGTGTTGGTTGTTTTGGATCCTGTTAATAAAAATAAATTAAAAAAAAAAAAAAGTACTTTTTTTTTTTTAAGATTTATCTTGAATGCTGAAATTGGATTTGTCTGATAGAGAAAATATTGCCTGAAATAAGGGGTCTATTCTCTATGTAGTTTGAGTTACAAGTTATGGGAAAAACCTCTTCAGATATTTAATCAGTAGCTGATAGACTCTACTCCTAAAATGTTTCTGCTCATTTTTGGTGCAGAGTAGCACTGTCCCAGAGTCTCACTTTTGCCTGTAAGATCTCTGGCCTCAAAGTGTGGTGCAGTTTTGGCTTTAATATTATATTCTCTTTTATAAAAGAGCTCTTCAAAAGAGTTCTGTCATCATCATGTTTTACTAACGATCCAGAAACTTTGAAAGAGCTATGTGGTATTAATATGCTTTCAGTGGGAACTTTTCTAATGTACTTCAGTCAGTAAGACTGAAATTTCTGTATCCTGTGAAGCTGCAGCTGGGTCAATAATATTTTGTGAATTGTCAGTTATTTTCTCTGAGGACAAAAATGGTAATGTAGGGAATTGAATGAATAGGCCTTAATTCCCATTAATATTCTCACTAACCTGAGTCTGGGTTTCCATAAACACAATAAAAAAGCAGAGAAGATTGTAACGATCTTTTGATACACTGCTAACTTGCAGAGTATAGGAAGAGCTATTTAAATATGTTTATAATAAGATTTTGTCTATCTTACATTTCATTCTTTAGATTCCTGACATCTTAGAAATGATTAAACCTAAACTTGAGATGATTGGCTTCAAGAATTTGTCTTGTATTGAAGGTAAATCTGAGAGACTGAATTCAGTCTTTCCTCCTTCCCCAAGTCCCTCTGCTAACCGAACCACATCAGCTTTTATACAGTTTTATTGTTTACAATGAGAAACTTGAAAATAGGAATGTTTTTTGTTTGTTTATGTAATAGTGCTTGTTTCTGACCTGAACCATTCTGTGACTCTGAGAAATAGAAACTGCCTTAAATGGAACTGTGAAGTCTAGAAAACATTTAATTAAAATGTACTGAATCTAAAGTAGTTTCTTGGGAGATAACTTGTCTAGTAATTAAGATGGTTCTCCATGAAGTGAGGAAGCTCAGTATGGAAGATCGATATCGAATCTTTAAACTCTTGCAGTAAGGAAAACAGAGAACAATAAAGGAGATGGTTTGCATTATCCAGTTGAAACTAAAATACTACGGGTAGATGTCCAACTCTGTAAGAGAGGTAGGAGCTTGTGTACATTGCAACTCAGTAGATGGTCTCCTGACAATTGCAAGTGTGCATTAGATATGTTCCAATTACTCCCTGGGGAATTTAGGTACTGTGGAAAAGAATTTTACAATCTCAGTGTCCGTGGTAGATCTGAGCTTTTTGATTCAAGCCCCTTGCTACATTGGTAAATTGCTGGAAAAATAATGTGAACCTGGAGAATGTCACTTTACATTTTTTGTTTCTTTGTTTCTTCTGTGTATCCATTTTTCTGGCTGAGGAATGGCTGATATTAGTGGAGATGTCTTATAAATGGCTGATATGTATGTATTTATTAACTACCCTGTATTTGATACCAGGAGCAGCCATCTAGGACAGTGAGATGGGGATGATGCTGATTTGTATTGTGATGGGGCAGGGTAGCTCATTTTAAACTTTAGTATTTTTACTTCAATAGGAGCCTTGGAAGACTCAAAGACTTCTTTATCAGCCTGCATACCTACTTTGAATAACAGGATTATCCAGGATCTCAGCGAGTCCTCTTTCGCTTACCTGAAGAGTGCACTGGAAATTCCAAGATTATATAGGAGAACCAATAAGGTCAGTGCTCATTGCAGATTTAAAAATACATCTCAGGGGAGTCTGTGTGAAGAATGCTAACTGAGCAGTACATTTTGCTCCAGGGCTGTCTGTATCTGTTTAGCAGTCAACAAAACTATTTTATAACTTTCGATGATCTAGTGATTACCATTTACCTCTTAGAAAAGAAGGGAACCAAAGGGAGATGAGGCTGAATGTCTTCCTGAGTACTGAGAGCTCTCTACAAGGAAAGGAGGCTGTAGTGAGGGGGGAAACGTCTTTTCCCAGATAAAACAGGACAAGAGATGGTGGCCTTACATTGCAACATTGAAGATTCAGGTTGGATATTAGGAAAAATTTCTTCTCTGAAAGAGTGGTGAGGCAGTGGTGAGGTGGTGGAGTCACTGTCCCTGGAGGTGTTCAGGAAACCTGGAGATGCGGAACTGAGGGATGTGGTTAGTGGGCATGGTGGGGACAGGCTGATGATTGGACTAGGTGGTTTTATGGTCTTTTTCAACCATAATGATCCTATGATTTTTGAAATTTTAGGTGAGGTAACAATGAGAATACAGGCTTGTGATGGAGGGAAAGGCAAGAAGTAGAACTATTAGGCAAACAAAAAAGGGTTAATAATAAACGTTTCCCTTGTGTCATAGCATGCATCAGAAGATGAACTGCTACTGAGCTGCAGGCTTCTTTTAGAGTATGTGGCAGGGGATGATACTCCTGCTGCGTCAAGAAACTTTTTCCCAGTGAGCTACTTTCTTAGATTTGATTCAGGAAGTGTATTGCACAGAAAGAACAAATGAGAATGGCCAAAAAACATTAATATTGTTTGGGTGAGAAGTTAATAAAAGCTAATTCATAAATATGTTATCAAAAAACCCCAAATCAGATATTGCATTGTTTGGTTACTATGATTTTGTTTTTGCCAGGCTGTATGGTTGTTACTGTGGCTAGCTTGGTCTCATGTAAGAAAATGGCAATGTAAGAAAACTCAAGTAACAGGTATTTCAGGTGTACCCTGTGTGTGTTTGGTTTCTCTGCAATGCATGAGGCTTGTCCAAGCTCTTGGATGGATCAACCCTGGAGAGGTGAAGCATTCTGCATCCAAAACTAGCTCAGAAGAAGGTAGTAAAGGGGGTGGATATTGGAGTTATCCCAAAAGCATTCTTCTGGAAAATATTCTGAGGAAATAGGGTGGTATAAGAATAGAAGGAACAGTGTTTTCGATTTAGTGAAGTATAATACAAGATAGTAGCTATTCTAACAAAAGTACACCATGTATACTGAGTCTTTTCAGCTTTTCTTGAGGTCAGTGTGAGTAGAAAGTGCCCTTATGATATGAGTAGCTGGCTGGCACGTGCATCCTCAAAAACTTTGGTCATTTTGGATGTTGTTCTTTGGTATATTCCATAGAATAACACTACTGAATGATTTTGTCATAGTGTCTTTCCTGCATATGAAGACCTCTTTGTTGATTGGGCATGAATAGGTATCTATTTCTTGGCTTACATTCGCCATTAGCATTCTACATACATGCTGTAATTGGTGTCTGTCTTATCAGTAGATAAATTACAGGTTGTTTTTTTCCACTTCTTTCTCTGTTATCTCCCAGGAAGTGCCAACTAAAGCTTCATCTTATGTTGACAGTGCTCTTAAGCCCTTCTACCGACTGCAGAATGAGTACAGAAATGTACTGAAACAACCCATGATTCATCAGTGGTTGGAAGGAGCCCTCTCTGAAAGCACACAGAGGTAAGAGAGTCATACATAACATTCTGTGCAGCAGGTGGGCTTTTCTGTAATAGTAAAATTTTTGCTCTCATTAATTTTTCTTTTTTTAGGTATTATGAAACTGTATCAGATGTGCTGAGTTCTGTTAAGAAAATGGAAGAGAGCTTAAAAAGGTTGAAGCAGGCCAGGAGGACTGCAGCTTTGAACCCTGTTGGTACAAATGGGGGTATGAGTGATGATGATAAAATCCGACTGCAGCTGGCTCTAGATGTCGAGTATTTTGGAGAGCAAGTAAGTTAAAAGAGAAAATATTTCTTTACTGCTATTACTGGTTTTGGGAAGGGAGTGAGATACAGGAGGAAAGTTCAGCTTCATATCTCAAATGTGAAACTTTGTATACATTATGTTTGATTGGCTTTTACAGCTGTGTAATGCAGATAATTTGAAACCTGAGCGATTGTTGAGTCTTCTTGAGCAATGCATGCTTTCCTGTGATTTCTTACATAAATGAAAAAGCCTGTATTTCTCAATGTTCCAAATTCAAGTATTTCTTAGTACTCAGAAGCTAAAAAGAAATACTAAGTGGACAAATCAGAGGGAATTTTTTTTCTCTGCTCCAGTAGAAATGACTTTATGGCTTCAGTTTTTGTTTGCCTTCCCTCTGGGTATTTCCAGCCTTGCCTTAATGCATAGTCAAGGGTTTACATCCAAGAGCTTTGAGGATTTCTTATTTGTTGTGTTATGCAATAGTAAGCTCTTTTCAATGCCAAATACGAAACCTTAATTAACAAAGTAAAAATAAGTGGAAGGTGATAGTCCAGGAAATGTATGTAGTAGCTGTATCAAACTGTATAAATGTACTGATTTATAGTCATCATTTCTATATGTAATATGCAGATATAAACAAATAAGTGTAGTCTACATCATTAGTTGCCAAGCAGTTGTCATCAGTCTTGTTTATGAGCACATGCTGTGGCTGCATTATAACAGGCAGATACATTTGGCCTGTGTGTAAACTGATGCTTTTCTCATTTCTGAGGCTTAACTGAAAAGAAAGTGATTTAAGTGGAGGTGTGGAAATTAACAGGAAATACCATTCGGCAGTTATTAGCTAGGAGCATGAGTTGGGTTCTTGGTTTTTGTGTTCCTATTATGTGCAGTAACAATATTACAATGTGAATTTAAGTTGAATTGGGTTAGATTATGAATAATCATTTAGGAGCTGATTTGGTACATTTGGATGAAATTTAGAGTTCCAGCAACGAACACCTTTTCAGTCATTACTAGTATATTTAGATTGCATTGCACTTTCAGATTTATCATTGTTGTGTTTTTCTAACTGTTAGAGTAATAGATTTCCTAGGTAAGATATTCCTTGTAGTAACATTTCTGTAGAGTTTTCACCCAACAGGAAGTTCTATGCTAGAATCACAGATTCTTACAGATTACTGGAATGCTTTCATTATCACACTGTTGCTTGTTGTTGGATGTAACTTTGTATTAAAAGCTTTGCTCAGAACACTGATTTGGGATTTGAGAAAAACTTCAGTTGTATTCAATGTGTTAAAAGCATAGTTACAGCCAAGTTTCTCTTTCTGACTGTTTCATTGGAAAACTTCCAACTGGCTTTAGTTACAAGAGGACAGTTAAACATTTTACTCTGAGACATTGTGTTAACTGGAAAGACTTAACTGAGCAAAGTTTTATAAGGTTTTTCTCATATGTTGCACTGTATGCAGTTTAGGGTTTGTTTTTTATCATTCATTAATGTAAGATAAAACATGCTTTCCCAGTTTTTAGAACATGAGCTTTTGTTGTTTTAAAGAAAATCAATGCTTTTTTTGTTTCTTTTTAGATACGAAAGATGGGACTGGAAACAAACAACATAAAAAGCTTTTCAGCCCTTACAGAGCTTGTTCTAACTGCCAAGGATCAGGCTACAGTGGAACAATCCTAAATGGTTTTGAAAACATGCAATTGATGATGAAGGAGAATGTAACTGTATGTCATTTTACCACATAAGTAGCAATGAAGTGCTTCCTATTGCATCTCAAGCAACAAATTGGTGCATCTTCTGTTTGTTTCACCAAAAGACTGAGAGTTTACCAATAGTTTTCCATTATATGGAAAGCAGTCATAAGTTCTAAACTTCTTACTGCAGAAGTGGGAAGTGGAAGAAAATGTTTCCATTATTTTTCTTGTAAATCTTATTATGTAGAAGAGTGAACATATATGATGAAAATAGTATGTAATAAATTGTCTTCCTAACTCTGATGTCCCATTTGTTTTTTGAATCAAATATATTACTAGATGTCTAAATCTTCCAAAGGAACAGCTCTTCTGAAATACTGAAATTGTTCACAGGAATACCTGTCTGCTGTTTATTGCTGTTGCTTTGCATTTATCAGCTTTTTCTCATCATGAGTCATGGTTAGCTCTTGGTAGGATTTCAGATCTTTTTATCTTACAGATTTCTTTTTTAATGGACCTTGTTGGTGAGAAGTGCTCTGTACAGAAAGTTCCTAAGGTCCTATATAATTAAAAAGCCATTTATAATACTGGTACCTAACTTTCTGGTTAAGGTTTAAATGGTTAAAAGAGTTAAAGGGTTTCCTCAAACCTAGGGTGATTTGCCTTCTGACACTTCTGTATGTGAAGAATAGGTGACACAGTCGGAGATGAGTAGGAGATGCATTTGAGACTTTATGCATAATTGCAGGCTGCGCTCAATGATGAACCATGTTGTTATCCTTTGTTTTCTTTCTCCAGATCTCCCATCTGCTAGAGCATGATTTTGGGTGCTCATTCACTAGAATGTTGATGTAAACTATAGCTGAGAGCTCAGTGTTTGAATGGTGCTTAGGATACCTGTTGTGTACACTATTGCATCTGTGGTGGAAGAATTCATTGCAGCTGGGGAGACCATGTTTCCTAAGTTTCAGTGGGATTTTTGCATTCATATTCTGATGGGATAGAAGGCTGGGAAGAATATATGTGGCAGTAGCAGAACAGTTACTGAGAAGTGGCAGACTGAGAAGCTTTCACTGTTTTTTGGTAGTGTTTAGTACGCAGTTATATAAGATACAGTGTGAATACTGCCAGGAGAAAATCTGTCTTAATATGTTTCTTTTTATAAAAAGAGTGAGAGCTTTTTAAACTGTTAGCTTGGCAAACTCCCTCATGGGTTTGGAAGTCTGTCTGAGCTCTTATTGACATCTGCTTTGCTGCCTGTAGTACTGAAGTTCTTGCAGCTGGAGCTTAAATAGCAAGAAAGTTATTAACTGAGGAGGTGAAAAAGAAAAAACAAAAAAATAACACATCCACCTTTCTTTTAGGACTTCATTAGCTATACAGAGTGAAGAGTATTATGCGGTAAGAATTTTGGACATAAAATTGATGTCAGAACAAGTCTCAATATAATAATGTTGTTAGGAAAGTGAACAGATGCCATGTTTTTCAGCATTTGAATATTCGGGAAAAGAGGTGTATACAGCTTATCTTTTTCATACTGTAGCACAGACTCCAGAATTTCTCTCTTCCAAGTAGAACCCCCTGATCCCTTTCCATGGGGCTGCTCTCCAGCCTCTCCTCCCCAAGTCTATACATACACCAGGGTTTGCCCAATCCCAGGTGCAGAAGCAGGAGCTTGTTCTTGTTAAACTTAATGAACATGATGATTGTCCAGCTCTCTAGTTTGTCAGGATGTCTCTGCAAGGCTTTACAGGAGTCAACAGCTCCTCCCAATTTAGTGTTGTCCTCAGACTTGCTTTGTTTGCCTTCAAGTCCTATATCCAAGTAATTGATGAAAACGCTGAAGAGAATTAGACCTAAAACAGAGCCCTGGAGAACCTTAACAGTGACTGGGCACTAGCTTGATGTAACCCCATCTACTATTACCCTTTGAGCCCAACCTGCCAACCAAAAGTTCACCCATCATATTATGTTTTTATCTAGCTATGTGCTGGGCACCTTGTCCATTTGAAAGCTGTGAGAAACACTATGGAAAGCTTTGCTGGAATACAAAAAGATTACATCAAGTGGCCTCTTTAACTATTTGGTAATTGTAATTGTGTCATAAAAGGAGATATAAGTTTGTTAAACAAAAATTTCTCGTGACTCCATGGTGAACAAAGACTGCATTGTCTTTCAAATGTTTTTCAATAACTTCCAGAATCATTTTCTGGTTTGTAATTACCAGGCTCTTCTTTTTTTGCACTTCTTGAAACCTGGGACTGCATTTGCCAGCCCCTAGTCAGCTGAGACCCCTCCAGTTTCACAGAACCATTGAGAAATAGGTCTTCCTATAACATGAGCCAGCTGTGAGTTCCCTGGGATGAATCCATTTGGACTCTCATACTTAGGCATCCAGCTGAATGCATATATACTCTTCCTTCTTTTTCATCCTCAGGGTGTCAATGGACAGGTGCTTTCCACTGCCAGTATTTTCCTTGTTTCTCTTCTCTGTAATACTGAGCAGTACATGGAGTCCTTCAGTATTTTGTAGTCCCCAGCTACAAATAATGGTGTTTTGTCCCAGACCTTAATGGCAGCATTGGCAGGAGCTCCCTTACGTTACACTCTGTTTTCATGGTAAAAATGGAAACTTTTGTGGTCTGCAATTTTATTTGTGGTTGATTGTACCTTCTGGCTTCAGTGAATAAGTGGAATAACTTAATAGAGCCCTTATGAATATTTGGAAGCTGTTTCATGCTTACAGCTATATCATTGGCTGTAATTTGCAACTTACTGTCTTACAAAACATAAATCTGATTTAGAGCAAATTTCTAAAGTTGGAACAAGAGATCTAGTTGTTATAGGCATAAACCCAACTGAACTGTGGCAAAGCAATTAGAAGTTGGTTTTATTTGCAGCTTTCCTGTTCTTCAAATTCATAGTTAATTGCTGCTGTATATAATGCAAGCACAGTATTTATATGTTAAAGCATCTGGAATACATACAGAAAAATTAGATAAATGCATGGATATTATAGCATTTGAAATCCTAGTAGTCACAAGAGTGAGTTGTGTTATTAATAGTCTTTTTTTATTAAATAGAAGAATCCACTGTTTATCTGTAGCACCGATAGCTAGCTGCTGACATGAGTGGTTTTGGGTAAGATAGATAGAAATTTGTACCATTGTGGATGACAGTAAGATACTGCTCTCTGCAGAATACATCTGGTATCGTACTGCAAAAGGGTTTGCAGTTAGTTACTCTCTGAATGCCATCAGGTCCAAAGGCAAATCTAAAAATGTGAGGTGGAAGTCTGTGTGCCAATGAAATCAAAGGGAAAAGCTCTTGCAGGCTTTTGCAGTACCAAGATTTCGCTCCCAGTTTCTCTCTTTCTCATTCAGGATTCAAGTCTAATAATCTGTTGTTCCAGTTTAATGTTTCCAACTTCTGTGACTGCTAAAATTTGGACTTCTAAAACCATTTTATTCATATGTAGCAGCACACCCACCATTAGTATAGACATTAGTATAGATTACTGCCACTAATACTATAATGTTCCTTCCCCCTCCCTTCCCCCCCTCCCAGAAAATATGGTTTGGATGTGTTAAGGCTTACCACTAATGTTCTTTTTTTCACCATAAGACTGTAATAAATGCCTCTCAGATCAGTAAATATTCTAAATAATTAAATTGTATTGGAATAGTAAGTAGGTCTCTTTTCTTTTTTTCTAAATAATCAGAGAAACTGCTGTCAGGCTATGAGAATTCAGCTGCAGCAGTTCATTAATGCTACCAGCCCTATTTTTAGTTTTTCCATGGAGTAAAGAAATAAACGTGTCCATCTAGACTGCAGAAAGAAGAAACTTCCTATAAATGTGTTTTTGCTTCCAAGGCAAAATCTTGTCTCAGTGGAACAAGTAAAGCCTTCCCATGCTGTTAGCAGCATTTTGAAGGCAAATACTGCTGATCAAGCTAGAAGTCTCTGTGGATAATTTGAAAAATTGGAGAGGTGTCTTGCAAAACTGATCAAACTAAAAGGTGACTTCTCAAGGAATGATGAAATCCTTTTTCCTACCTTTCTGTAGTAAATTGCACTTGCACTTATAACATTGTAAGCTGACTTGCTGATTACTGTTTTATCCCCATTGCCTTGAAAAATGGTGGGGCAGAAGGAAGACAAGATGGGGAGAAGGAAAGAAGGGAACTGGGCGGTTTGCATGAAATGGATGAAGATGGGATGTTGTAATTCTTTAGCTTTTAAAAAGCTGTATTTCAAACTGTATTGAAGCTGTATTTCCCCTTGATCTCCAAGTAATGTACAGCACTCAACACGATCATAAAAACAGCTTATGAGTACAAAAAGGTGATGGGAAACGTGCATCCTTTTTCTTCTCCTCTCTTCCTTGGTGCTTGCATTTAAACCTCCTGCAGTGGGTTTGTTACTCTACCAAGGAAAAGCATTGCCCTCGACTTTGCTTCAAAAACTGCTAAAAGAAATGGCTTGTTCAGCATTACTTCCTGTGGCACTGAATCTTTTTCCTGTGCTGTGGTGTCTTCTGGCTGATGTGTTCCATCGCTGCTCAGTTTGAAAAAGGCTTTATTCATTATCTGTAATGCAAAAGGTGAGTCAACAGGATCATGATAGAGTTTAAGTAAATAAAAAAGCACATGTGATAATCAGTAACTTGAATCAGCTGTAACCAGCAGGCTCATGGATGTTAAAAATTTGCTATTGAAATACTCGTTCCATAACAAGAAAAAGGCTCTACAATTGCTTGTACACTTGGATTGTATGAAATCCTTGTTTCCTCATCCCTGACAAATGAATGTGCCCTGCTGATCATATGTCCCACATGGCTCTGAGTATTTTTAATTCAGGCTTCCTTTCTACAGGCAGTGATTTTTAGGAAGGATCTTGTTTTTACCTGCTTAAGTTCCTAGCTGCTGGAATGTCCCAGGGAAGTGGTGGAATCACTGCCTCTGGGGATTTCTAAGAAAAGGGCAGGTGTGGCACTTAGGGATGTGGCTTGATGGGCATGGTGGTGATGGGTTGACAGTTGGATGAGATTACCTTAGTGGTCTTTTCCAACCTTATGATCGATTCTATGATTCTGAAGTTACGCAGCTACAGGAGGCATATTTTGTTGAACACCAGTGATGTGTACTGTACCTTTCCGACAGTGAGGTGAGTGTCGCTTATTTTACTGAGATCTGCCTCCTTCCCCAGCAGTGCAGGCAATTTCATATCTGCAAGAAATTCTTGTAGATCACAGCTGTCTTCTATTCTTAACTCAGGCAAAGTTAATTTCATTTTTCTGGGGGGGAAAAAAAAGAGAGTGTACCCTGTAGTATCAAAGCAAAGTGTTTGGGTAGTTTTGGGGCAGCTAGTCTGTATGGTAACTGTTGAGTCATGGCCTGAACCACTCATAGAGCACCTGGAAAAAGGACCCTGTCAGCCCTGGGAGCACAGGTGAAGGCTATTCAGCTGTGTGACCGAAAGGGGTGGAATCTGGCTGCACCTCTCTTAGGCCTCATTTAAGGGCTGACTGACACTGGGGAAGGGTTGGAGATCCTTCCTTGGTGAAGCTTTCCCCTGTGAACTTGGAATCTTCTGATACGGGTAAGCAATCTTCTTCCCTTCCTTTATAGCACCTTTCTATTGTGCCTGTGCTGTCATCACACATCTGTTGTAACGCATTTCACATTGTATAGATCTGTCCAATTGCCACACAGTGGAAGTTTTTTCTACTAATAGCGTGGCATCCCTGGGTTTCTGTGCATCTCTGCGCTAAATGTTACATTCTCAGTGGCAGGATCCAACCCTCGCTGTAGAGAAGGAAGTAGGCAGAGCTCCACTGCACACCCTCACCCATTCATGCTTACAGGAAATCATGTGGTGTCCAAAATGTACCTTGGGGACAGATTTTCAAGCCAGGCTGATGGCTGCAAGGGAAGCTTGGCCTCTACTTTGTCCAGGTCATTGCCATTGATGGGCTGCAGCAACACCAGCAGAACGTTCTTGCCAACAGGGACTTCAATTGCAGAAAAGGTCTCACTGGTGTCAGTCATGTACTTGAACATCCCAGTTACTGACAGCATGGGGACTGAGACTGCCCTGTTCGAATCAACCCAGAACTCCTGAGGTTCTTTCAGCCGCAAGGCTTTCTTATCATTCACTAAAAAAAAAAAAAAAAACAACAAAAAAAAACAGATCAAGAAATTTTAAATTGATTCTTCTCTTTCATCCTCCCCTCGGCCCCCTTAACTGGGATATATTGTTTGTTTATAACACACTGTGTCAGACAAGGATCACACATGTACAACTGCATTTAGCTACTGTAAGCTTGTGTAACCTACCTTAATATGCCTTTTGGTAGCATCAGGCAGAGGCAGATTCACAGCACAGGTTCTGAAATGCTATCACAACTGATTAAAATTGCTGTGTTTATACCACTTTTTGCAACCAGAAAGGGCTACAAAGCTGGCTGAAATTTCTGCCTGCTCAGTTGTTTACTCCCTCCCAAGCTGCTAAGCAGTTCTTGAATGGCTTATAGTGAGATGCAGAAGACATGGATTTCTTCTACATCCCCCAAGCAGCTGTGATGACTATGCACAACAGCTGCATATTTTGAACCCATCTGGCAGGGCAGCTCTCATGCGGTGCCCTCTCACAAGCTGAAGCAGCCAGGGAGGCTGATGCAAGGCAGGTGAGGTATGGCACAGCTGCCCAGAGAAGGGTGCCCCATCCCTGGAGGCTCTCAGCCAGGTCAGATAGAGCCCTGAGCTGGTGGGTGGCAGCCCTGCCCACAGCAGAGGGGTGGAACTGGGAAGGCTTTAAGCTCTGTTCCAAACTAAGTCATTCTATGCTGTTTTTTTTTTTTTTTCCCCACATCTCGTGAGAAAGAAAGCACCTGAAAGCAGCAATGAGCTACTTTCACAGCATCTGTAACCTTGCCAAATTTAGGATAGCAGAAGCCAAGAACAGAATTAAACAAAAGGGAAATGAGTAGAAATGAACTTTCAGGCTAAATGCATCAAAATGGGATAGTAACTGATTTCTAAAAAACTAACCTTGTCTTGAGGAGGGGAAAATAAAGTAACATCCAACTCTTTGTGAGGCAGCAGGTGATCAGTAGGCTGCCTACTGGTGTTTCTCACTCATTTCCCTGAAGCAGCACTGCCCTCTGGCAAGGGTGAATGCCTGAGGGCATAGACCTTGAATTAGCTCCAGGCAGTTTCTGCATTCCCATTAAATGAAAGGAGCTTCCAGAAAGGCTTAACACAAAGTGCCAGGAAGCTGATTGCTTCTGGAGCATTTAACATGACTTTGGATGCAGAAAGTCTGCCCTCTAAAGCAAGGGTGCTGCTTGGCAATATCACCATTTAGTTGTACACTATTTTGCTAAATGCTACCAGTGGGTTTAAAATCATGTCATCCAACTGCAGTGTCTTCACTCACTGGTTGGTAATTATTTTGCAACCTCAAAAAAAAAAAAGTTGAATCAGTAAGATTTGCACTTAATGCTCTCTGCTGGATTCTGAATAGCAGTTCCCGCTCAGCAGTGAGTCTATAAATGTGAAAACAACTGTGAGCAAGTGAACAGCAGTTGAGACTATTTGAGGAAATTTAGCCTTTCTTTTGTATATATTTCTGCCACATCAGTTTATCAGTCCTTTGGCTCTTGAAAGTCTTTCATAAATCTATATAATGTGCTTCAGTGCAAAATAGTGGTGTTTTTTTTTTTTCCCCTACAGCTATGAGGCAGAACATGGAACAAGACAACATAAGCTGTCATGGTTGTCCCTCTGTAGTCAAATGGCCAAGCCAATGCTGCAATCCATTTCCCATGTTTATTAATAAAGATTATCTAATTATTTCATCCTTAAGCCAATATTCTCCAGCCCACAGGTGGGGAACATAGCTTCTCAAGTGCATCATTTTGGAAGAAGAGGCAGAACAGCTGACCTAGTGCCATTCAGACCTTCAAAAATGTGTTCCTAAGCAAATAAAATTACAAGTTTCCTCTATAGAAGAGGAAAAATTTCTGTTAAAAGAAAATTCTGCTCTCATGACCATGTCTAAGTCTTCAATACAAAAAGTATTTTTGTAGTGCTATCTTTATGGTAGACCTCACACTGACTAGAAGGTGATGCTTTGTCACATCTCTTCTGCAGAATTTGGGATCAGTTAATGAGCATTACACAGCATCCTCTGACAGCACTCACGAAAGGTAAAGGAAATCTGAAATCTAGTTTGCAGTTGAGAAGATAAAGGTACAAAAACATTTTACGCACTCCAGAGCTTCAGTGCTAGCAGTAGAAGCCCACTTAGAAACTTATGATTCACTGCAAATTTTCTGAAATATGGTCACTGGTACACAAATTGCCCTAAAATTTGCCATTTCTGGTATTGCATTCAGACATTAGGACGCTGAAAACCAACTACCCTCTTAGATGCAGTACAGAGGGAGTTCTGGCACATCAGCAATGGAATAACACCACATAATTATAAGATTGCCCTACTTCTAGTTTTGGATATTCTCCCAGCTTCCATAACTGGTGGCTTACTTTCTGACCTTGATATTTCCTTTAGCCTGTGGAAAGGTATTGCTTTTGTTTGCTTTAAACCTACTTTCCAGATGACTTTTGCCAAAAGCCCCTCAGGACATTTAGATACTTTTTTGTAAGAAATCATGCATAGTACTCTATTATTCAGCTTCCCGCACCTTTCTTCACCCTTAGCTGCCTGGTCTAGGAAAAGTCCCTAATGCCACCCCCCTCCACCTCTTCTCCATTGCCCTGGCTATCTTGAGGCTGGGTGAGAGAAGGTGGCATGTGGGCAGAACCCCAGGAACAGGACACTGCATGGAGCAGTGCTCAAGATTCCCATGTAAGTGAGCTCTTCCCTCTCACTTCTTGGCCTTGTTTCTACCCTGGGAAGCAGAGTAGCTGACCTCTCCTCCACCCAGCCTGCCTCCAACATGAGTACTTGCTCCCTCTTACCTGCCAGATGAACATCCACTGTGAACACTAAGTCAGTAGCTGGGTCGAGGTCTGTCAGTATGCGCTTGCTTTGGCCTTTGCTTTTGGCCTCCACAAAGGCATTTATTTGTTTTGTTGCCTCACTTGGGTTTGTAAAGTCCACAGCTCGCGTGTAAAAAGCATCAGCAGAGGGGAGCAAGCTACGCACAAACTGTTGGGATAAGGGTATGCCAGGGGCAGAGAAGAGGCAGAACATCTTGGAAAAGAGCAGATCCTCATCCTGGGTTTTGACAAGGTTTTCGATAGTCCTCAGGCTTGCAAGGAGCTTGTGCCCATCCACCCTGGAGGTGCAATTGAAGTCTCTAGAGGGGGGAACAAATCCCAGCAAACCCTGCAAATCAGCAGCTGTCTGGTTGGATGCACCCAAGTAGAAAGACACCAAGGAGCCATAGAGACTGGTAGGGGACAAGAGGACATTTTGGCCCTGCCGTGCTTCCCTCTGCGAACTGTAAAATCGCATGCCAAGGACATGCACAAAGTCCTTCAGGTAGATCAGTTTCTGCCCTCCATGGACACTTAAGCTAGGGGAATCCAGCCTGACTTCATCCTTCACATCCTCTTCATAGGCAGGTGTGGTTTGGGATTCAATGGAGGCAGGCACAAATGTTTTCTTTCCTTCCTGGGTCAAGCGTTCCAGTTCCTCACAGGCACTCTCATTGAAAGCATTCAGATAGAAGGGGTGGACATAGACCCGGTCACAACCCACTGCAGTGAAGCACAGGAGCAAACAGAGAAGATCTGCTGCCAGCTTCATGTCGGAAAACCACTTCCACAGTGTTTGCTGAAAGAAAAAGTGGGGAAGACGACTGGTCAGCCTGTTATAAATACTGTTTCCTTTGTGGTGAGGTGCTCGCACTTTGTATGTTACAAAAGCAGGAAGCACAGTGTCTAGTGCTGCTCAACAAAAGGCCAGGGTGGAATGACCACCAGTTTCAGTGGCTGCAGATGGGGAAATGCTAAGTGTGGACCTGACTACATTACCCAGTGTCGCGACCTGAAGACTGCACTGGAAGAAACAGGGCTGCATACTGCAATGAGCTAGGCTTGCAAACTAGACTGCTAGTTCTTTCAAAACATTATAATAATGCAGCCATATTGCTCCCAGGACCTAGTCAGAGGTCTGTCTGCATACTGCTGCACTAAATCTTGCTGACACAAGGACAGGCTAAGTGATTTGCCTGCTGTTACAGGGGAAGTGGGTTTGAAAAGCAGGTCTCTTAAGGTCCCACCACTGAGCTCTCCTGCTCCGTATGTCAAGTCAGCATAATGCATGGCACTAACAAAGCACTCTGTATTTCCACAGCCCAGTGCAAACATTCATTCTAGCTTCTAAACAAACCACCTAAAGGCTTTCTTACACAAACGTGCTGCCACTGAAACCAAGTATTTACCTTCATAGCACCTTCATAACTTAAAAACAGGGTTAGGAAAGATGAACTCAGTTTTTCTCTATTGCACAAGCAATTTTTTCCTTCAGTAGGTTTCCTGCTGTTTTTCCTGACTAGAAATGGAGACTTCTCCTGAATGTGGACATTACCAGTGTTTTAGCACAAGGGACCAGGGGCATATAGGGTACAACAAAGGCACAAACACGTACATGTGCACATACATATCACATACACTTGTACATGCAAACATACACTCACTTCTCCTGTATCATTTTTTTTTTTTAAACAACTTCGTTGCACCTTCCTTGGGTTTGTAGTCTACAACTTCAGATTCACATAGTTGAAATCCAAACGCTTCTTATGGGCCATAATGCTGTTATTCAGGGCTACATTTTTACACCACTAGTCATATCTTGTTCGTTTCAACTCTTTTCACCTTCACCACCCTTTCCAGTCTCTGCAGAGTTTGTTGAATGAGCGAAATGCTAACCAAGCTCTGATCTCCACCTTCTTCCTCCAGTTTTTGAGTGGTGCCAGTCTCCAAGTAGTGCCAGTCTGGTAGCTTGACACTTTTAGGAAGACGCAGTGCAATGTCTGTCTCACCAACGCTTTAATTTACATAGAGTGGAAGCGCTATGGATTGAATCCAGCCATTCGAGAGCTGACACCCCACTTGATTTACAAGATATAACAATAATCATTTTGCTCAGGGATCTCCAGGTGTTTCATGCCTAATAATGCTCGCATTTGCAGTATCACTACCCTCTTGCAAATGCAAAACCTGAGAGGAATAGACACTTGGTAATTAGACAGATACCTCACTAGATACGTGCCTGTTAACATGCATTTACATTCCCAGGCCATAAGCACATGTCTAACAGGTTGGCTTGCAAAAGGAATTTCTGCTGTTGTAGTTAATCCCACCCCATCTCCTAAATCAGCACACTGGCAGCAGTAGCTGGTGCTGCTATCCCCTCCACTCTCTGCCTTCATCCTCACAGCAGCTGGTGCTGGCAGATTGCTTCCCCCAGAGCCACCACACCAACTCTCATGGGCAGAAACAGCGGGAGGGCAGTTCTCACTGCTGCCACTTAAACAACCTGATCTGTAGAAAGCAAACATGCTGTATTTCCCTAAATAAATCCACACCGATCCTCTCAGAAAAGGAAGAAAACTTGAGCTGAAAACCAGCATTCAGAGCAAACCCACCGTGTGTGCTTGCTGTCCGTGCTGCGGTCCCCTACAGATGCCCTGTCCTCTGGGGCAGGCTCCTTGTGGTCCCTTTTGAGCAGTGCATGGTGGCTGCAGGGGCATTTATGCCCTTCCCAATTTGGGGGCCTTTCCAAATGTCTCCAGTGACATTGCACAAAGCTACCTCATGGGTGGGAAGGCCAAAAAAAAGTTAAATCGGACCAGAAAGGACCCAATGAAACTTGAGTGCAATTTAACACTGGGTGAGGCACAGAAAACCCTAGAGATCAATACACAACCTTTAACCTGACCCAGCTCATTTGTGTAGCCTGCTGTTACACATTGACTAAGACGGACACTGATGTTTTGTTATGCAGAAGAACTGATTATAGGACCTGAAAATAACTCTGCTCATTTTGTGCCAGACTCAAAAAAATGCAGATTTCCTTGTGCCTCCAGTTTTTGTAGTCAGATCAAATATTTTCCTTCTTGGATAAGAATCTCTAACTTATGGCTTGTCAGTGTGATTGTGACATGTCAATGAGTGGGATATTTCAATTTTTATCCTCTTAATCTACCCATAAGATCAACAGTTTATTCATTTTCCTTTTCAAAGCAAACGGGCTGGAAAGGAGAGGATGAAAACTAGAAGGGATTAGGACACCAGATTCAGGTAACGGAGAATTCACCTCTCCCAGTCTCAACTTCCTACAGTCCTATTTAGGAAAAAAAAGAGGGGGATTCAGAGATCTTTCTGCTGCTTTGGAAGCAAACCTCTAGCTTTGGCAAAGAGTCATAGTATCACTCAGGTTGGAAGAGATCTACTCCCCTGTAAAGCCCCTCTTCCTCTTTAAGCAAGTAAATGGTGAATTAAACCGAGGATGACATAGATGGTCTCATTCAGCACCATCATTATAGTCAGTAATTAAAATCCCATGGCCCTAATGGGAACAGAACTGACAACATCCTAGGGTCTCAGTTTTAAAGGGCCAGTCAGGCCCAATTTGTGCTATAGAGTTCAGTCACATGAGGACTTCAAGAAGCAAGCCAAGAAAGAACAAAGTATGAGTTTGGGCTGTTGAAAGTGGTGAAACTGAAGGTTCTGTCAGTGACATCTGAGCCCTGATGGAGGGGCCAGAAAACGTCCATTTCTGCAGAACCGCTTTTTCATTTGAACAGTTCCACTACTTAAGCTGTAATGAGGTCTGAAAACAGTCCTGAGCATAGCCACATATGGCATGCTGTCATGCAACAAGGCCTAAACAAACAGCTTGAAATATTTAACATGTTTTCTCCATCTGAATCTGAGGAGCATCTGGCTACAGAACAAGCCCTGTGCATCTGCACCATCTCCAGATGGCTATAAAATGCATGGAGCCCAGCCATGCACCCAAGCAGTGGGAGAAGCAGCTCTTGCATTAAGAATGCATTGTGTTCAGCTAAATGCTGAAGAGACAGAGCTGGGTCTCAGATTGAGCTGGATCTCAGAATCTCCCTTTTTAGCCTTCCATTCCCCAGGGCTGATGAAGGTGCATGTGGAACCAAAGCAGTCAGGCCTGCAGGAGGCATTGGGACTAGCAGCACGTTCCAGGCTGGGCTGCACCATGCCCATGGGCCACAGCCAACCTGCTGCATCCTACTGGGCCAGGCCTGGGCACAGAGAAAACACAAGCTCCATCTGAAGTTCTCAGTATCAAGAACACAGAGATCTGGGCTGTTCCAGCAAAGGGCACCTCATGCTCTGTAAAACTGAAAAGTATCCTTAATGAGGGTTGCTTAATAATAAGCTGCCAGACTTGCATATTTATTGTGGATGTTATGTACTGGATGGGAAATCATCTAATCCACTGTACTTTTTTTCCTTAAGTCATTTTGCCTCACGCGTGATACAGAAATGCTGTTGTAGCACCCAGAGGGAATAGTCTGGCTACTCCCAGCTTTCAGCTGCCCTGTGGGCTGTGACCACATCACGTTGCAGCTCCTGCAGTGAATCACACTCTCCTTTTGCTGTCTGTAGGCACAGTTCCCAACAGCAGTAATTCCCTTATGGTGGTAAAGACTTTGATTTCAGCCCATCCTTATGCCCCAGTGCAAAGCTCAGATACAAATCCCACCAAATTTGCCAGTCCCTTACGCTCATTCAGTTAGTATTCCCCTACAATTATGCATCATTCAGTAGCGTATTTCTTAGATCTCTAACACTTACCTTTTCAGTTTATACTAAAGAAGTTACTCTAAGACTATAGAGTACGCATTGTCACAACTGGGAATGTATTTTTTCCTAGTATGACTTAATTACAGGTTTTCATTTCACTTCTGAGCCCTTTTAAAAAGGTAGAGAGCAAAAGCATTATCTCAATTACTATATGTGGACCCTTTCGTCAGGCCTTTTTTTCTGTTGAGCTGCTATTATTTTAGGAATGATGCTGTGCTTGAAGAGCTAGACTTCAGCAAGATGACAGTCTCTATCACAGAATCTCCAGGGTTGAAAAAGACCTCAAAAGATTATCCAGTCCAACTGTCCATAACTCACCAACATTCCCACTAAACCACATCCCTCAGTACAACATCTGAATGTTTCTAGAACACCTGCAAGGATGGTGACTCCACTACCTCCCTGGACAGCCCATTCCAACACCTGACCACTCTCTCAGAGAAAAAGTATCCTGCCTGTCAACTGTGATGACAGTGGACTGTCAACTGCTATGACTCTCTTCCCCAAAGAGAACTGTGGCAGAAAAATTGCACTGGGAAAAAAGTGGTTGAAAAATTTTCATAGAAACATAAGGTTGGAAAAGACCACTAAGGTCATCTCATCCAACTGAGAAACCATTATCACCATGCCCACCCACTAAGCCACATCCCCAGGTGCCATACCTGCCCTTTTCTTGGAAACCTCCCATCACTTCCCCAGGGCTTTCCAGCAGCTAGGAAAGCAAGAACATAGAAGCAAGATCCTTCCTAAAATCATTGCCCATACAAAGAAAGCCCTGATTTGTTGTTGCATTACAATTCTCATCTTTCAATAGCCACAATGAAGGTATAAAGAAGCACAGACCTCTCAAACTTGCTGTTCAATGAAGAAGTTCCTGTCCTTCTTTTGCTTCACTCCTCCTGATCTCTGGAGGGGTCTTGGAACTCCCTTTTGTACTCACCCTTACATAAGCTAGCCCAAGCTTCTCACCCCCCCCTCCCCTTGCCC